TCAAATACATGCAGTAGTCTATCTTTGAGGGTTTGGTACTTGTGCTCACTTAGTGGTGATAATAATAAATCGCTCACGTGTGTAATCGCAGCCTTACTTAATTTAGTAACCACTAAATTTTGTTTAGCGGCGTCCGATAGTTTCTGTGACTGGATGACAGCCTCAAATTGGACAAACCAGAGTCGCGGTTGGTCTGCCCAAAAATCAGGAACTCTCGATGAAATGGTGATAGAGTCCAAAGATGATGAAGTCTCTGGCTTAACTTCGGGGTTGTGTTCCGAAACACGCGCTTGAGAACTTTCATTTTGTGGATTCATTGTTTATACTGCACTTTTTAATAAAAAAATAAAAGTGATATAAATGTTAATTAAATAAAATGTTCAAAACAACTAAAAACGTAATGTTCATAACACCGGTCACCACTTTAGGGTATTAAGTGTCGGAACCTATATTAATTTATCAGAAGGTTAAATAAGAAAACACGTTCACTCTATAACTCCGTATATTAGCGACTAGTTAAAAAGTCTTTGTTCTACAGACGCTAACAAATTGTTTATAAACATCTTACAAACTAAACTGTACATGTACATGTAGGCATATGTGTCCCTACACAAGGCATTGAAAAATTCAAAGGATTGGATTCTAAAACTAAGAATAATAACGGAGAATGCATGTATCGCAAAACAGACATATTAGAAACAGCAACATCTTTTTACAAAAACCTTTATGAAAACAACATTTCACAAGACGAAATTAATTTGACGGATACCTCAAATGTTTTAATGGTGAAGCCCAAAAGGCTATAGACACGCAAAAGGAAGACAAAGCACCCGGGCCCGATGGTATTGATAATACAAACCTAAGACAAAATAAAGATATCTTGACTCCGGTTTTGACATATATGTTCAACGATATAAACACCGAAATTATACCTGAACAATGGACAAAGTCAAACATTATTTTACTGCACAAGAAAGGAGATAAACACGAAATTAGTAATTATCGCCCTATTAGCCTCATGTCCAACATTTACAAGATTTTTGCTAAGATCGTACTAAAACGGATCGAAAGGACGCTAGATGAACAACAGCTCATCGAACAAGCAGGTTTTCGCAAAAACTAATCAGTGATCGACCACATTCACATAGTGCGTCAAATTTTAGAGAAATATAACGAATATCAGCTTACATACTACATTGCATTTGTCGATTACAGCAAAGCATTTGATTATTTACTGCATAGCAAAACATGGGAGGCACTAATGAATCAGGGAGTTGAACAGAAATACATTCGCTTAATAAAAAATATATATAGCCATGGTACAGCCATGATTCAATTAGAAAAGAAAGGCAGCCCATTCAGAGTGGAAAAAGGCGTTAGACAGGGAGACTCCCTTCTCCAAAACTATTTTCGGCAGTACTGGAATTAATTTTTTGAAAATTTAATTGGGAACATCTCGGGATTAATGTGGACGGCGCGCGGTTAACGCATTAAAGATTTGCTGATAAGATAGTACTCTTCGCCAAAACATCAGAAGCATTAGGCGGAATGTTAAGAGCTGGCAACAGAAAGCGAGAAGGTTGGATTAAAGCTAAATCCAGATAAAACCAGGGTGATGACAAATGGAAATAAATATAGAATAAAATTAGGGAACAATGAAATCAAGTACACTGATGAATACATATATCTAGGACAGCTCATAACTCAAAAAGAACCTATGCATAAGGAAATTGAGAGAAGAACTAACTAATGGCTGGAAGAGATACTGAAGCTTGAAGGAAGCTATGAAAGATGGGACACTTCAAATAACTGTAAAAAGCAAATTATTCAATACTTGCATACTACCTGTTCTTATGTATGGCTGTCAATCATGGACTCTCACGCAGAAAATGTTAAATAAACTTGCCAATACGCAATGGAAAGGAGTATGATGAATGTAAAGAAATCAGAAAGATTAAAAAAAAATGTTATCAGAAATAAAACAAAACTTATAGATATATCATTGAAAATCTCAAAATCAGGAGACTCAAATGAAAATGGGCAGGACATATGATGAGGAGCCACGACAAATGGAGTAAACTAGTGACAAGGTGGTACCCCAGAGAGGGCAAAAGGAAAACAGGCAGACCGCTGAAATGGCGGGACGACGACATCAGACAAGTGGCAGGCGTAATGTGGAATAGAGTGACTCAGGATAGACTGGAATGGAAAAAGTTGGAGGAGGTCTTTAACAATTGGCAGACGGATCTACAAAAAATCAACAAATAAGTTATACCTACTTGACAAAATTATAGTGTTAATAAATACGTAAATACTGTTATTAGGCTTAAGGCATGTATGTTCTAAGGCTATTATTATTATTAAACTGTAAGTATGTGCATTTTATGAGGATTCAGTTTCATTTTGTTAATTAAACACCAATCTTCAACAGAATCTATATCCTTTTGCAACAGTGTTACATCGTATTGACTAGTTACAGATCTGTATATTTTTAAGTTATCTGCAAAAATAGAAATTTGGCTGTGTTTAATGCATTCTGAAATGTCATTTATAAAAAAGAGGAAAAGAACCGGCCCAATATGTGATCACTGGGGTACACCTGAATTAACCTCGTAATCGTGCGATTTATAACCATGGACTATTACACTATGAATTCTAGCCCTAAGGTAGGAGCTAAACCAATGCAACAGGCAGCCATGAATACCTTATGATTCGAGTTTAGTTAATACTAAAACATGGTCAACTTTATTGAAAGCGCTAGAGAAATCAGTATATATTGCGTCCACCTGGCTGCGATTATACATAACCCTAGCAATATTGGTAACGTAGTCCATTAAATTACTAATTGTCGATTTTCTCTTCTCTCTTTTTTGAGTAACTTAATAAGTTATAGACCGGATATATGATACATTCAAAAACTTTGGCAAACAGACTAATAATGGAAATCTGGACATTTTCTTAACAACCCTTCTTGAAAAGAGGGATAATATCAGAACGTTTCCATACAGTTGGGAATATGCCAGACAACAGTGATTTTTCAAAAATAAACTTCAAGAGAAGCGATAAATTTTTGAACACCAATTTAATAAAAATAGAAGGGATACCATCTGGACCAGCTCTCCTACTTATGTCTAATGTTTTCAAAATCTCCATAATTTTACGTTCTGTGACCTCTATTTGACCTAGTGAAAATTGAGGAAATCTATCAATAAGATGTGGCGGTGAAGAATTATCAGGCTTTGCAGTACAGCAATCCAAGTGCATTTCTTCTGGAATGTCATAATTTCCCATCCATGTCATGCCACCCACCCATAACTTTTTTGGATTCTCCGATATTGATTTTTCTACTGTCTACATTATCAGAGTGACATACCGAGATCAAAGATTGAATGCGAAGACTACATAGCTTTTATTCTAGGCCATCTCTAGGATTTTCATATATTTTATATTTGCGATATAACTTCTCCCTTTCTCCTATTAATTTAATCAAACTACGAGTAAACCAAGCGGGAAATTTGGATTACGGGATTTTGTTGTTGGGATTGTTTCATCGGTTATTTTATACAAAATTTCATAAAATCTTGAAACCATCGCATTAACGTCCTGCAGTTCACATAGTTCGGCACTCCATTCAATCTGTCTCAGTCTCAAATTTACCTGTCCATAGTCAGCTTTTCTAAAGTTATGTGTGGCAAACATATTTTCTCTTAATACTGAATTGGAATTTACATTGACAACTATCTCCAAAGCGGGATGATGCATATCCAATTTACTTAAAGGGCATAAACATTCAGAAATAACGATATTTTAAAGGTAACTTAACACCAAATCTAAAATAAAACCATTATGATTCTCCACGTCATTAAATTGAGAAAGATCATTTAAGGACATGAAGTCTATTAACTGGTAACCAAGATTACAAGAATAATTATTAGGAGATAATCCTTTTGCATTTCTTGTCCAGTCTATAAAACTCAAATGAAAATCACCGAGAACTATAGTATTAATTTGATGGGATTGCATCGCAGTACAACATTTCTCCAAAAACAACTCCAATTTATCAACAGCTACAGAAGGAGGCATATAGACACCGCAAATAAAAATTATTATAAAAATTATTAGTATTCTAAACTTTTACCATGAACTATCACTTTCACTGATACCCAAATGTCCTCACCACTACTTTCAAAATGACTTACTATTCTAGAATTAAATGCTTTAGAAACCGCAATGATGACACCTCCACCACGCAGATCAGACGTAGAACATCGATCCCTACTAAAAACATTATATCTATTGTCAAATAGTTCGTGGTCTTGAATAGCATCATCTAACCATGTCTCGGTTCCCATTATGATATCGTAACTGTTACATAGTGATGCAAGTTTTATACATTTCGTGTTTGTTCTCGTGCCCCTAAAGTTCTGATAGTATATAGTGAATTCTATGTTAGCTTAAACTGGCTAACATGTGACTGGATCGTAAGGCCTATTAATTTACAAAGTAGCTAGGGATTCATAGCACTTAATATGCTTAGCTGGAGCATTGTCGTCTTTTCGTACAAAAATGCGACCATTACGGACCCACACATACTTGTAACCCTTTTCAAGAGTAGCTTTTCTTGATTTATTGTAGGGAGATAAATGTTCAGATACATATACTGGCGATTTCTTACCACCATAACCCGGGTGAGCTGAATTTAGTTTTTCTTTCTGATTCTTCTTATTTAAGCAAGACACAGCCGCCAATAATTCATCGCGCCTCCTTGTTATCGGCAGCTTAATAATAATTGATCTTGGTCTGTTCGTTTCTTCATTCATTTTTCTAACTGCATCTTGTATTTGAACAGAAACAACTTTACACAATTGCTTGGCTATCGATATAATGTTTTCCGTCTTACTGTCAGGTATCCCGTTAATTTCGATGTTTGTTTTGCGAGAGTATTGTTCTATCAGATTCAATCTATTGGTCAGTTCACTAGAAAAATGAGATTTAACCGCTTACTCCACAGCCTCTGCCACTGATACTTGTATTTCACGACGTACACTAGCCAGAAACTTGTCGTCGCCCTCCTGATTCGCCGAGCAAGCAAAAGGTGAAAAAGATCGCTGCCCTTCTGTGGGTTTTTTCCGCTGAGTTATATTGGTTTCATATGAGTGGTCAAGTGTGTCTTCAGAAGCCGAACTGTATAATTGAATATTGCAACCTTGGACCGGAGTATTGATATTATCAACTTTTTTCTGGTTACCTATACAACCTGGGCATTTCCAACTTTCTTTTTTTTCTCTACTCATGAAAGAAAATAATTTGTTCGAGTATTTGATGCATTCTAAATCGTAAACATCATAGCAATGACAGCAAGACAAAAACTCACGGGTTGATATCTTTTTCTTGCACCCCGCACAGTTTTTACTAGCAGCTGGCATTTTAAACTACTCGTATACAGATTATTCAAATTTTGCAATATTAAAATCAAAAAAAGATTATATGATTTTTGGTTTGAACCTGCAATTCTTTACATCCGATGAATGCAAGAACTAGTAGAAATGAAACACAGCTCAAAAAGACTGCTCGTGCTTGGGTTCGAACTTCGGATCTTATAGTTAGTATGAACAACAACGTTCTGTGCCTCGCTCCAAGACGCCAAACTACTGGTAACGGAAGTGATAAATTAAGCAACCCAATTATAGCAAACAAAATATGTAACAATTGAGTTATGGCCAACCTTGTGATTCACGATGACACAACAAAAACGCAACAGCGACGGAGAAACTGTGGCCGTCGATAAAATATTTTCTAACTGTATTTGCTTGTAACTTTTTTATCACTGCACGGGTTAAGGCACTGTTTTCACAAATATGTAGTGCGATCGATTGGACAACTATAAATATATAAGTTTAGACGTTATGCGTGCTTATAACCGCTCAACATGATATAAATTAACGGAGCAATAAGAAACGTGTCTAGTCTCAACTCAAACTAATGTTGCTATAATTAATACCTATATTTGAACGACACATTTATGAAATTGTATTTTAATATATAAGTTGATAATAAAAGGTTAGGGACTTACTACCATTGTGGTAAAGAGTTCTTCAGATGAATGCAAAATCAAAGTGGATTGACCCGCCTGTGCTAAGTTGCATCTAATCAGTGGACGCCACCCCGCACTGCACAATTTCTCTCTGATTCACCCTTTCTATCTCTTCTGCCCTTTGCCGCTTCGTAACTACTCACTATAATTATATAAATGTTGCTGTACTTAATCCCGGCTTCTAAACGACACTTTCTAGAAATGGGGTGTTGAATATCAATCTTCAAACAGCGGTATTAAGTGAAAGTTATTCAAATTATGTATTAGGAGAACAAAAGCATTTACCATACACCCGGCCTATTGAAAATGCAATGTTTCAATATTCACCATCCAAATCTTTCAATGGTTTACAATAGCTTCAATTTGGGTTGAAATGGTATACAAATGTTCAGAGGAAAGTATGGTATTACCCAATATTCTTTTCAAATGATGTTTAACAAGCTTTACAGAGCTTTTTTTTGTAATTCGTATACAAATGAAACAGAAGGAATTCAGAAAAACTCATTCAACAATTCCTCGATCTCTTCATAAGTAACGGTATGAAGCCATTTATCAACCACCATTTTACATTTTCGTATGGTAAGACTGTAAATTTTAAGGATTTTATTTATTTTGTTGTACAGTTTGGGGCTCACGAACTTATTTTGTTGACTCGCCACTCTCATATTACAGGACTCTAATCTACACACTCTATCGGATCTACGCATTCGCTTATCAAAATTAGGATCATAAACTAAGCTGGTATGTTTACGCATCACAGTGTTCAATATGAAGGAGTGTCTAACTCTTGGTAAATAACAATGAGCATATAGCTCGTTTGTGGAAAAAGAAAACGGTTTGTGGCACATAACTTTCCGAACAGCTCTTTGAGCTCTTTCCAAGTTTAAAAATGAACACTTTCCAGCGTTTCCCCAAGCGGCAATACAGTACGTCAGAATGGAGTGGGCAAGACCAAAATGTACTGTACTGATTGTTTTAAAGTCGGCGGAAACCCGTAGATTTCGAAAGACAAAAATGAGTTTCCTTACCCTTGAGGTAAGTGACTCAATCTGATCATGCCAAGACAATGTGCTATCCATCATATAAAACTTCATTCTATGAATTCTGATGCTACATAATTCGATTTTTTTTTTCAAAATCGTTTCTAAACATATTATACAGCTCATGAAGCTCACTTTAGCCCCATGAAAGGTAGTTCCATTATCACTGAATATTTTAACACCACCGCACACCAATAACACCCCGCCTAGAAATTAATCTTCGCAATGCATTTAGAAATTCTTTAATATTGAGATTTGAAGCTAATTCATGTAACGGTTTACTTAACCTCTATTAACGATAGTTATAATTTTAAAATTACTTAAGTCTTAAATATTTAATTCTAATCTAACAACAGAGAAAAAAGAACAATAAACAAAATAATACTTGTATGTACAAAATAAACTTAACTATCTTATAATCAAATAATATCAACTTAAAAACTGAATATAAAAAAATAAATAAAATATTCTAATAAAAATTAATAATAAATAAATACCAAAGCAAAGTCAAGACAAAGCGCTTGTATGTTAAACCTATTGTTCGTGCGCTCGCGCATCGTCGACCGACCCTGCAAGCCGGTTTCTTAACGGCGAGACACGATTTTTATACTACCGCAGAGTAAAGACGGATTCTCGTCAGTTGAACTATTTTTCTAAGCTGTTTTGCTTACTACCGAAATTCAAAACTATAATTTAAATATCAACTTCAAATTAAATACAGTTATTGTGATAATTATTCCCCATATTAAGGGGTGCACCCCTACAGCAAGGCCGATTGGATATAGCTTTGGAGAAGGCCATCTCCTAGTACATCACGCCGTGGACGGACTCCTCCTTTACCAGGGCAGTGGTATTCTCGAATTTTTTATTGCGCACCCGATTGTCGAATAATGAATCCACCCCCATGTTAATTATAATTATTAATAAATTGTAAAACTGTATAATCTATCTCATTTACTATTTCCATCAAACCGGTACATTGGCGCCTGACTAAAGGTGTGTTCGAGATCGGTTTGCGCAATCAAATTTCCATAAGCATCAAATAGCTTTCTTTGGTGTTGGCCTTAACTTCTAGAATTAAGGTTGATTGTACTAATATTGTTACTTTAAGTTGTGTACTGTAGTGGTTAAAAACCAAATCATTATATCAATACTCATTTTCATTGATTATTTTCTGCTTATCATACTTATTTTCATTACAGTTAAGACGCTTTGCTAGAATTGTGCTTAACTAATTTATTTTGCAACACCTACCCTACAAGTGGTAAATTATCATTATGGCATACTCGATTAAATTTCTTTCCCTACAAAAAGCAGAATTACAATATGAAGTAGAACTTCGTGGTGGGTCAGGAGATTCCGTGCAAGAGTTAAGAAAACAAATTGTTAAGCTATCTCAATTACTGCCACCAGAAGATATATTAGAATCACATTTAGGTCCCACAGATGATATTAAAGAAGTTAGAGAATCCCTTTTATAATCACAAAACAATTTGAGTAGTCTTAAATCGAAATACGATAAAAATATGTTTAATCGAACTGAGACGCTACTTCACCATATTTATCATCGAATTAATAGAATTACTAATTCATCAGAAGTAAATGATTCATATAAAGTTTGCATGGCTAGCCTAAATTCACAATTAAATGAGTTATCTTCCTTAAGACCACAAAGCTCTCAAGTCAAGTCTCTTAATTCAGGTACTGAAAACAATCTTGAAGTTTCTACTATTTCAGTATCATGTGAGCGCAACCTATCTGCCGACATTAACAAACTTAAATTTTCCGGGTCTACTTGTGTTCATTCCTTTATCCAAAAAATAGAAGAATTTGTACAATCAAGAGGTATACCCTATGAAAAAATATTATCCATGGCTTATGAAATATTTGTCGACGATGCATTGCACTGGTATCGCTATAATAAAGATAGAATAAACTCATGGTCTGATCTTTGTTCTTTGTTGAAGGAGGATTTTAGCAGCACCGATTATGACTATCAGCTTTGTAATGAAATCAGATCACGAACTCAGGGTGAACATGAGAATATCACAATTTATTTATCTATTATGCACGGTATGTTTTCCCGTTTAAGTAAACCGTTATCTGAAGTTGAAAGATTTGAAATTCTGATCCATAACATAAGGCCATGTTATGCAAATGCCTTAGCTGCCTCTCCTGGTATAAAATCCATTGATGAACTAAAATCTGTGTGTCGTAACTATGAAACCGTTTCATCCAGATTTACACAATTTCGTGAGCCACCTAAAATAACTAGTAGTACACTTGCTCCCGAGTTTGCTTATAGATTTAAACCTGGTTTTCATCAGCAACAGAATTTCAATGAACGTCCCCACAATCAGCATGGTTCAAAAATTAATTATTCATCTAATGAATATTTCAATAATTTCACACCTGGGCCAAGCAAACGCAATTATTTTAATTCAAACCTAGCACGTCAAAGAGGTGGTGATCATGTTACTAATCGTGATATAGCAACACCATCTGACGAACCTTCTAGATCAGTGTTCTGTCCTAGATGTAGATCGAGCTCCCACTCACTTGGGAATTGTATGCGGGAACGCTATTTGATCTGTTTCGAATGTGGAAAAAAAGATGTACGTTACCCAGAGTGTCCTGATTGCAATCCTATTAATAAGAATGTTCAAGCAAAAAACTAAAATGCTCCGATTGGTGCGATCGCGATAGGGAATGGACGAAATGGTTAGAATTTGTAAGAAATTTTAATACCTTCACTTCGGTTGCATCTATCGGTAACAATCAAAAAAATAATAGTGATAAAACTAGACCTTATGTTAGTATTAGTATTTTAAATTGTCCATTAACGGGACTTTTAGATACCGGTTCATGCGTTACTATCCTGGGTAACGCATCTCACGAGCGATTGATGAAATTAGGTTTTGAGCTGCAGGGGACATCTCAGCCTCAATTCGTCACTGCGGGTGGAGAAAAGGTACCTTGCATAGGTGTTATTTATTTACCTATAGAGTTCCAAGAAAAAAAACACAATATTGAGGCTTTCGTTATACCTAAGATAAAAAAACTCTCTTATATTGGGTGTTGATTTTTGGCGCGCTTTTGGGTTATTTCCTAAACACCTAGATACTATCAAGTTTTGTAAGGATTCTGAGATTTCCTCTGTTGCTGAAACAACATTAGATGATCTTCATATTCTTCCTTATGAATATCTGCCGGAACAAAAGAAATGTATTGCTGACAATTTAATTCAACAGTTTCGAGAAATCTCATATGAGGAACGTGGCTTAGGTCGGAC